GTAAGTCACTAAACCAAGGAATAATAGTTTGGGGGATGATTTTGAAATTGGTTCAGATACACACTTGACATACAAAGAAGAAAGGCCACATGGGACCATATTCATATAAGATCTCAGAACTAAGAGACCTGGGTTGGAAATACAAATTTGTAAGTTATTTCTACAAAGGAGATACAACGAAACCACAAGAAAGTGTGTTAAATTGAAAAAGATCTAGAACCATGCAGACAGTTAAGAAAAAGACTCTAAAGAAGAAACAAACAAAAGTTAAACAGGTTGAACAACAGAGGAAAGCAAGAAGAGTTCTGCATCATAAGGATAAACAAAAGTTTAAAAAAAACAAGCAAATCTGCTAGCTTCGGCAGTATGTACCTACAGTCTCACCTACCTGGAGGCTAAGAAGAAAGAGTCACGTGATCATTGGAGTTTGAGACTACTCTGGGCAGCATAACAAGTGTCACTGAAAAGTACTATCTGCATTTTATGCACATTTCTATTCTTACAACCTCTATATAATCTTTTGATTATAGACATTCCTCATTTAACAACCTACCTGTTTAACAGCTGTTCAGACTTAGTAACCTGCTGCTGGGACTTAAAACCTTTTTTTTTTTGTTTTTGTTTTTGAGGGGGTACAGTTCTGTGTATCTTGCTTATGGCTTCCATGTCTTTAATAGTATAATACATCTTATTCATATAATATTGTAATTTTTGCTGACTGTATTATAGAATACAGTGCAATACTGCAGTCTTATGTTCTGTTATACATTATGGTACTGCATGTAAGAATTATGCAAATAAAAGGGCCACGTATATAGCTCAACAGCACAGCACCTGCCTGCCAAGTGCGAGGTCATGAATTTGATTCCCAGTACCAAAAAGAAGAAAAAAAAAGTTATGCAAATAAAACCAAAGTCATGAGGTAGGACATTCCTTTGACAATTTCTTTGATTTGACTACTGTACATATTATATACAATTCTTCATTTATTGACCAATTCAATTTATAGTCCAGTCGTGAGAACGGAACTTAGTTGTTACATGAGGAGTACCAGTATTTTGTTCTCAACTATGAGCTGTTCATCAGGAAATTTTGCCAGTTTTTAAAATATCATGTTACAAAGGATGTAGATGGTTAAAATTTGCTAACCGACTTTGGCCTTTCAGTTGTTGAAAGGATGAAGAGCAATACGACACGGGTCAACACAATTTTTGACATCTTGAATTAAGCAAGACCAATGATCATGAGATAATGTTTGTTATCAAACTTTTTAATCAGTCTAATGATAAATAATATAAACAAGGCATGTCATCTGGACTTCTTTTCTAATTAACATGTATGATTTTGTCACTAATGAAATCATTTTCCAATACTTTTCCTACATTACAAGTTTAAAAGCAGCTTATTTTTCAAACCATTTTGTAGAACACAAAGTAAATTACAAATAAAAAACGTAATATAGGTTAGTCATTTTCAGTCTCTCTCTGAAAATATTCCAAAAGCAACTCTTTCAAACACTGCAAACAGAAAGTCCAGTGTGGAGATGTATGCCTAGAATGTCGGCACTCTGGAAGGCTGGGGCAGGCAGATCCTGAGCTCAACTTAGCAACTGAGCAATGAAAGAGATAGAGATGTAACTCAGTGAAGGAACAGATTCAGTCTCTAACACCACCACCATGAAAACAACAGCAACAACAAAAAAGCAAAGATATTCAATTTGTGAGTTCACTAAAATGTGACATCATGTACCAATAACTAAATCATCTAGTTAGTAAGACAAATATTTATCTGTAGAATTTATTACCAGAGAGAAAGAAAAACATAATGATCAATAACAACATAGTACTCTACATGAAGAGAATCACTAAAATAGGTCTTGCTCTTTCGTTACTTTCAGCTGAACATATACATTTATTAGTACTGCAAATATACAACATACAACAGAATCAATCTAGAAGCACACAGTACTAATACATTTTTGCTCTTCAAGCATAATCTCCAACTAAAAATACCTTTTAAACATATAGCTGCAATTAAAGTATTGATAGATTTTCATTTTATCATATCAGAAATTTTATGATAGTGGTACTCTCTTGGCCTTAAATATGCTCAAATGTTTATGTAAACCCTCAGCCACCTAGCCTTTGACCCCCGTGGGAAGAAAACGCGTTTTCAGCTCTTTATTTCATGTGCCTCAGCTGAAAAATGTCTGCAGCGCTGTCAGTCTAATAAGGGAATGAAAAAGTGAATGCACGAATAGCCTCAATGCCTTAGCCTTCTCACCCTCAAAAAGAGCACTGTTATTGAGCTGCAAGTACATACAAGAAGGTATCAATTCTTTTATATATTAGTTATACAGATATTCTTGAGGAATTCTTACCTTATTATAGAGATCAAAATTTCTAAGCAAGGACTTATAATACTAATGAAAAAATTACTGAACAGGATCAAAAAGTATATTTACTCATGAAATATGAAGGATAAGGAAATTTCAACTTGATATAAAACTCAACAGTCTTTTTCTGGGAAAGGTGAGAGAGCTTTTACAAAAGTAGACATTCAGAGAATATTTCCTTCAAATTTTCTCATAGTAAACAAAATGAAAAAATAACAAAACTGAAATAGTTCTTTGTAGCATAATCATTTTATGAAGATAAAGGATGAATATTTTTACTTGTGCTCATACTTCCACTGTATCCGTAAGATGCTTGCTTTTGTATTTTGAGATTATGCCTCATGAGATTGAGAGAACAAAGAAAGAAGCATTTAAACTCTTCACAGAGAAGTCATGCTACATAAACTGGATATGACAGAAAAAATGGCACCAAGAATGACATATGCTTGTATTTGCAGGATAAAAAGTTCTCTGAGGCAAAGGAGCTACAGGAAATTTTAATTATTAAGGTAAGCTGGTACAATTTGTTTTGATTGTATATAAATAATCACTTTCAAATAATCTCAGAGCCATGTTTTATAATTTATAATTACCATTTAATTTGTAAAAATGGTTTCTTATTGGAAACAAAATATCTAGTATTAATTTACAATGAACATAGAGAAAATAGAACACATATCAAGTAAAGGCCAGCATTAATCTAAAATTGGAGACCTTTTTTTTCTCTTTAATACTAAGAAGTCTTTTTATTGCTTTTAATTGGAGGCAGATTTTTGAATACAATTAGAATATAAGGATCTTCACTTTTTAGACAATGTAAAACAAAAAGAACAGGTTAATTTGCTAAATATGAGTTAAAACATGACAAACTTCCTAATTTCTTTTCCTATCACTATAACAGTTCGTGTAATAAGTAAAATCTCAAAAGATTCTCTCTCAATAGAGTTAAAGCATCAATTATTTTCCCATGTTACAAGTTACACAGGAGGAGGGGAATTGTTAACAGAAATGATAAAGCTATACTTGCATTCGATAACACAAAGAGAAGCTTACAAATGAGATGTCTCATTAGTTTGAGCAGATGGATCAAAATTAAAGGCTGAATCGCCAACTTTTAATTTCCCAATAGCTAAGAAGAGCTTGAAGTCTTGCAGAGTAGGACTGTTGAAAAATCAACATGAAAAGATTTTCTCCATCTGGCATCACACATGCCTCAGTGAAACACAACTGCCTCCTACTGTTTTTAATACTTTTAAGGCAAAACTGCACATAAAATCTATTAAGTACATGAGCACACAGGTTTAAGATACTTGGTATACTGAAGCTCATGGAAAGCATGATCACAGAATATCAGCATGGATTGTGAACATGATATTTTCTGTTCTTATTTAACCCAAATGAAGAGGAACAAAATAAATTCATTTATATATTTAAGAAGAAATTAATTTTTAGCATGAAAATTATTTAGCAGCTGAGTTATATTTCTTTTTCTTCCCCTCTTTGGATATATACTTCAATTTTCTCGATATTGATCAGTGCTGATAAAATCAAAGTACTTAGGGAAAACAAGGCAGGGAGAAATCCAAAATACTAAACAAACTCAAGGCAAGAGAGCAAAACCCTGATCATTCACTGAAAGATTGTTTGTTTGTTTTTTAATGGGGTTGGGGGAGTGAAGGTAGTATGAAGTAGAACCAGGGAATTAGTTTCGCAGAACAGAATAGACTGAATGACTATATATATCCACTAAGATATTTTAAAGCAACAAAATACAGTTAAAGTTCCAGCACACAATTCAGTAATAAGTAATAACAAAGAAAAGCACATTTATCTAATACGTACTGGCTACTCAATGACAATGCAATCATATGCTGACAGTTATAACCATAACTGAATTCCTAAAGCACCCACGTAAATTACTATTACTTGTGTGAAACAATATGCTATTTAAACAGGAAGCTTCCTGGAATGAAACAGTTAGACATTTTAGTCATGAGAGTTGGGTAGAATGTATTTTAGGAGTTTGTGTGTCAGTTTTTTAGATAAGGTAAAAAGCTTCATAAACAACATTTTTTAAAATTTATGACAGATGTATGCATATAAATTCATATATTTGAAACTTTTTGGAACCTTATACAAAGACAGTGAGTGACTGGAATCAACTGCAATTATGACTGAAAAAAGAACCAACTGAAACTTAGTTATACTAGGAAATACTTTGCTGACATTCTATGAAAATCATAGGCATCTTATTACATCTGTGTTACAGTGTCTCTTCAAGAACACTAAAAAAAAAAACCCAACAAAAACAGTAAACAATTGTATGAGGGGTTCTATGTCTCTGGAAACAAAGTCCTACATGAGTCTCAGTATCAGCAACTACTTTTGGAGTACCAACTTTTGTATACTGAAATCAATCAAGGATCTGTCAATTTTACTGAAAGAGGCATCTAAATGCTGGGCATAGTACGCATTCAGCACAATCTGTAACTTATCAGGCAAACCAAAAAGTATCTGATAGATCAATTTCATAATTAATTAATTTATCTTTGTTTTTCTCTGAGATAGGGTTTCCGTATGTAGTTCAGAATGGACTCGAACTCACAGTAATCCCTCGTCTCTGCTTCTTGAGTGCTGGGACTACAGGCATGTACCACCACGCCTGTGAATGAAAGATTTTAGACCACAACAATAATTTTGAAAAGATTGACACAGGAAAGATTTAAAATTTAATCAACTTTTACAATGGCATTCAAAATATAGAGAATTTAAACAATGAACCTGAAAGAGCTTTTTTCTTGAGTTATACTGCAATGATATTCTTCAACAAGATAACTGCATTAATGCAAAAAAAAAATCCATTGCCTTATTCTGTCAGTAAGTATATGCCTTACTATAATCTGAAGGAACTGGACTGGGCTTTGTAATACTGCCAATGCTAGAGGTAAATTTCAACTACTACAACACAGCTCCAATGAATTTCTATTGCTTACCAGCCTCATCTCACTAGCTTATGTCTCTGAAGACAAAACAACTCATTTCAGTCAGACTATATTTGCCATGGAGTTCATGTACGTGATGCTGCACCAGAAGCTAAACAGTTTCCTCATAACCTGTACTTCTTAGTAAGACTTGTCCAACTAGAATGCAAAATCTAAAAAGGCACCATTGCCTCAAACACAGCACATACAATTTTTAAATATAACATCTTAAAGCAAAGCATATATTTATATTTAATGCTTTCATTTCTAATTATGGACCTGTCATGTTTGTAAACCAGGAAAACACAGTACATTAGAAAAACTGTAGAAACAACAAGAAAAAGAATAGGAAATTAGAAAGACGAAGAGTTAGATCATGTATGGATTAAGGCATGTGCAGAAACTATCTGGGGAATAGAATTAGCAGTGATTACACCTCGTCCCACACCATTTTTGCTGTCTGTTGTGACTGGGGGTAAAATTTGTTAGGCTCTTTCTTTATTCCGTCTTTATACTAATCATCATTAAATCACATTTTAAAAACAGAAGTACAAAAGACTACCAGATCTCGGTGTGAAACAAAACTCAGGGCAGAAGAACAAGTTCTTTTAACTGAACACAAGTACATACTCAGGTCATGAAAAAATGACATGCAATGTATGAAAAAATGACATGCAATGTATTACTATAATCTTCTGAGGCAATAGTTGCCTAATGAGTAATATGATACCATTCTCCCTTACATGCCTTAAGAATAAAAATCTAAAATTGTAAATATGCATTTGGTCACAACTTTACAACAAACAACATTGATACCATCTTTAACTAACTATATGACCTTGGGAAAAAGCTTAATTCTTAGGCTCATTTTTCTTTTTAACAAAAGATGTCAAAAGATTAGAAAGACTAAAGGTTAAACATATTTAAATGATATCTGAAATAGGAGCCTGAATAAAGACTCCTTTTTCTCTCTTAAAGACAATAAAATTGTGAAGACTATGTAAAATGACATTAAAAATGTTCATTATTCATTAAGGAAAAGAGTGAATATAAAACTGCATATACAGCACAATTAGTAACAATTGTAACTAAAAATTAAATTGAATGAGAAAAATTATTAGCTAAAAAAATTACAATAATAAACTGAAAATTACAAATAGGAAAACATGAAAAGATCTTTAATGCTGCTATTTTATCTTTATAATTAAAAAGTAGGTATTTCTATAAACTTCTACCACTATGGAAAACAAACATGACATTAATTATTCAAGATCAGAAATGTGAACTGGTCCTAACTCTCAGTTCTTAGAAAACGTACTCTAAAGAAAGGTCGGTGCTATTCTGCTGTAATTCCTTTGTTGAGCAGTGCAGAGCTGGACACAATCTGAGATAGTTGAGTTTGTCAGTACACTCTGTATGATAATTACACTTAACACAATTACCCACACTGCATTTATAACTAGACATGTCCTCAGGAAAAGGATAAAGCTCAGAAGTCATAGATTCACACAGAGCGGACAATAAAGGATGTCAAAATGTGCACATGAAAGGCAAACATATAATCCTGTCTCCAACCACTGCTTTATTTGTGAACATTCTCAACTCTTAGGCTCTTCATGCCTTAGAAACACCAGCCCCTGGTAACCTGATGACTACCCTGCTTTATCCCATCCAACCATCAATTGGATTGAGAAAATACACTGGATTTATCTGTACTAACAGCCTGCCCTCAATTTTTATTTTGAAAAGTAATACACTGAATGGATTTACACTAACTTGGCAATAAGTTACCATCTCTACATCTCTGGCACACATCTACACTATAAGATACACATAGGCCCTTGTGACAGTGAGGGAACCTAACTGAAACAGGAGATAGCTTTGCCAAAATGTCTTAAATTATACTACAATGAAAGACACAACTGATACTTTTCCCAACATTTAGGGATAAGACTAACTTTTATTTTTCAAAGAATTAACTTAAATTAAAAGACTGCATTTTAAAAGCTGGAATAGTACAGTAAGTGCATTTACAGAATAATCATAAACAGCATGATAAAGGTAATAATCGTATAAGAAACGAGTGACTCACTGTTTCAGGGGTCTTCAAATAGCTGTAGTACTGGATTAATAGTAGTAAAAATTATTGCTACTAATAAACTTACTATTTGTTCACAGTACTAAAAAGTCATAACTATATGTACATTACACTTATGGTTATAGCTGGATGTATACATTTATTAGTCTCACTAAAAGATTCAATAAGATTGCTCTTTGCTTAATTTAATTTAAAAAAAAAAGCAATTTACTCCAATGACAAGTGATCCTATGTTCCCTGTTAGCAAGTCAAATACAATTAGCCCTCTCACTGCATAAGGTTCCATGGGATCCTTATCTAAGAGTTCTTCATTATGCACTCAATCAAGTAAGAAAATCTTAAATAAAAAATTATAATGAATTCATACAGATTTTACCAGTTAGTGCCAAAAGCTTCCAAGTATTTACATTTTAATTTCTATCATTTAAGAAGAAGAACAAATCTTTAACAGTACTCATACATAATGAATTCTGTCATCAATTAACTGAAGCCTTCTTGTAATAGAAATCATCACATTTAAAATGATGATGTAAAATGTTATTAACAGTTCAAAATTAAATGAACACCCAACACTATACATATATATATATACATACACACACACACACACACACACACACACACACACATATATATATATATATATCTCCAAAACATTATTGGGAGAGAAGAACAGTCAGGGACCTGCCATTTTCTTCATCTGTCAAGTGAAAACAATAGTCCTTCCTTATAAGCTCCGGAGAGAATTCAATGAGATAATAAATATGTATCAGTTTTAGGCACTGAGTAATAGCTAAGAAAGGCCAAACACTTTTAATTATTAATAATTTTTAATCAATTTACTATTATTCAAAGTTTCTTAACTTTTTATTAAAGCAAAATGAAGTTAAAATAAAGTGAACATTGTTTTTTAAAAGTTAAAAATAAATGAGAGAAAGAGGACACAAAGATGAACTGACTCCTTAAAAATGTTATTCTTGAAACTAAGCAAACAAAGAGTAGATAGGAAAACACAGATTTTAAAACTGCTTCCTAAAAAGAGAAAAAATGTCTCAAGGAAGTATATTATATGCTCCGGAGTCCAATTCATTCTTTTTTTTCCTTCTTCTTCTTTTGTTTTCCAATTCATTCTTAATATGTAAATAAGTTGATTTAGAGGAAAAAGGATTGTTTTGCATTTAAAAGGAATTAAAAGCAAAGAGCAGAAATTAGACTCAAATGTAATAATATGCTAACAATGTATAAAAATGAATAAACAAATATTCTGAAATAAAATACACAAAGAACACAAAAAATTGGGCCATTATTAATTTTTAAATAAACCATTATTATCATGCCCTATTTAAAACATAAATCTTGACCAAAAAGTATGGGTAGAGAGAGTAGGTTGGCAGAAAATATAGTCTCTCTGGACCTGAAATGAAGATACTTGGGAAAACAACTTATTGACAAGAAAAAAAAAAACAAGTAGATTTCCCGGAATTAGGGAGAAATTGATAGGAAAAACAGAAACTGCACAACCTGGAGAAAATGAGTACAATGGAAACAAAAGAATGAGGCGATCTGGAAAGCTAACCCTGGCTCACAGGGAGGGGGACTGCCTCCTGACCCAGGGAGAATAAAGAGCTCAAAGGAGAAACAATGGACTGGGATGACAGAGGGGGCCCCCAAGAAATTCCTATAGCTCATGAACACTGAAAAAGAACACCATGAGGTTTTACTTTGAAAGAGACTCCTTCTGCCCAGCAGGCTGAAGTGACAAGAAATCCAGTATAAAGCTGGCCATGTTTGACAGGGTTTAATTGAGAGCAATTTTGGGAAAAGGTTGTATAGGATTGAAGCACAGAACAACTTTACAGAGTTTGTTACCACAGTGACTAAGTGTGAAACAGCCTCAACAGACAAGTCTCCAGGAGAGTTGGAAAAGACACAGATACCCGAGAGGTTTAAGCCCAGGCAGGGCATAACCCAGGGATGGGGACTAGTCCTTTGTGAGTAGCCTCGCTCTGGTGTGCAGCTTTCAGAGGGAGTCAGTCTAAAAGTGCTGGCATTAAGTGCACTGGTTTGTTTGAACCCCAGCCCCACTGCTTACATCTGACACAGACATCAGTGATACTTCTGCTTTCCGCACAGGAGCAAGGATACATATGCCCTGGTTTGGATATACTTGGTTTGCCACAGCCTGAGGTGTAGGACACAGGGGCCTCAGTAGCAGGGGGTGCTTCACAAATTCATAAGGCGTAAGGCTAGGCAGCAAAACCAACTTGAGGGGACTGGGCATGGCAAAAAAGGGCAAGAAAATGATCGCTGTCAAGTGGTTACAGTTATAGGCCAAAATCACTGACTAAACATGTCTAGCAGAGAAAGACAAGGCAGGATTCAGCCTCACAAAAAAAATATGTAGACAACGCAAGTAAATCAGTAACTGTAGAACGCCACAGAAGGACAAAAATCATCTGATCATCCTGATGTATGCAGAAAATGCCTTTGACAAATTCAACATTCATCCATGATTTTAACAAAAACCTTGGAGAAAACAGGTATGTATAAAGGACTCCATCTCAATGTGATAAAAGCTACTTTTTCACAAACCCACTACTAATATCATGTTAAATGAGGAAAAGTTGAATTCTTTCCCCTTAAAATCTGAAAGACAAGGATGTCCACTATCATCACTATCTTTTTTATTGCAGAATGTAGTTGAAACATTAGCAATCAAGTGAGAAAGAAAATGGATATGGATAGAAAAGCAATAATAAGTCAAATTAACAAGAAGCTCCCAAAAAACTCCACTGAAAGACTCCTAGAAATAATAACCAAATTCAGGAATGTAGCAGGATACAAAATCAACACACAAATATAAACATCCATGTACACCAGTAATGAACACACTGAGATAAATTAGGAAAATAATATTACAATAGCACTAAATTAAATCCTTAGAAATTAACCAGTGTTCCTCACAAAACTAGAGAAAATAATCTTGAAATTTGTATGAAAAAAGGAGAAACCCAAAGAAGCAAAACGAATTCTGTGAAACAAGATCAAAACAGAGACATAACAATCCTGGACTTTAAATTACAAAATAAAGCTACAGACATCAAAACAGCATCCTACTTGCACAAAAACAGATGTGTGATTCAATGGAAGAGAACAAAGGATACAATAACAATCCTAGGCACAAAAAGCCATCTGATACTCCATTAAGAGACCAAAAACATACACTGGAGAAAAGTAGCCTTTTTAACAAATGATACTGAGAAACATGGTTTTCCACATGAAGAAGACTATCTTGTCCCATAGCTCTTTCTAAATAAAAATGGATACAAGATCTAAATATTTAAACAGAAACAATCTGCTGGAAAATAAAACAGGCAAAAGATTTGAAGACCTAAGAATAGGCAAGGAACAACACTTCATCTACATAAGAAATAACAGTAAGAGTCAACAAATGAAATTAAAATTAAAATTTTCTGCATAGTAAAGGAAATACATTTGACAAGACACCTACAGAATAGGAAAATTTTTTTGCTAGGTATACCTCAGACATATAACTAATATCTAGTATATAAAGAACTCATAAAAATTAGATCCTCCGGAATATAGGCTAAGAGGGTAATAACTAAAGTACAGAGAGAACTTAATGCTTGTATTGTTTTACTGATTTTGTAGAACTAAAGTCGGTATATGGAGCATCTATTTACAGAATAACAATATTCAATATAGTAATTATTGTGCATTTTCCACTGTCTTGTTTTTGAAGTCTAATATTGTTTTCATTGTTTTGTTTTGTTCCATTTCATTATTTTGTTTTATTCCAAATTTTAAAAAAAATAAAATTAAGATTCTCCAAAATAAAAAACCATAACAAATGGAGAACTAAAATGAAGAAACACTTCTCAATATAGGTACAAACAGCCAATATATACATGAAAGAATGTTAAACACCTCTGGCTATTAGAAAAATACAAGTTAAAACAATACTGATATTTTACCTTACTCTAAAAAGAATGGCTATCATCAAGAAATCAAAAAAACAAATGCTGGTGAGGCTATATTATTGGTGTGAATGTAAACTAGTGCAACCACTTTGGAAATCAGTATGGAGATCACTCAGAAAACAAAAATTAGAAATTCCATTTACTCTAGCTATTCTGCTTTTAGCTCTTTTTCTGCAAGAGATAATGGCATTCTATTACAGGGAGACATGCATGCCCATTTTTATTGCAGCTCAACTGTGATAGCTAAATATCAGAAATGGTCTAAATGTAGATCTGCAGATAAATAGAAAAAGCAGGGAAAATTATATGCATTGGAATACTGCTCTGACATGAAGTATAAATGTGAGTCATTTGTAGGAAAACAGATGTACCTTGAGACTAAAATGTTAAGTGAAACATGAAATACACAAGCTTAAATATCTCATGTTTTCTCTCACATGAGAAATCTAAAATATAAATATGGTAAAATATGGTAAAAAAGAAAAATCTAAGATGAAAAGAAATGAGAACATACAATTTGACAAAAAAAAAAAAAGGAAACAAGACATGGGGGAGGAGGCAGGACAAGGATAAAAATGAATTAAGCTAAGTTATACACAGGTATCATCTCTCTATGGTGAATGTAATCATTATGTTTAGCAATCATGTACTAATAAAAATAAAAATTTTTAAAAAGGGTGTACAATGGATGATTTGAAACTAAAAGTGCTTGGTTTCGTGGCACTACTTCCTGATTCCCTACCCTCCTATATCTCGAAGCCTCTCCACCTCAGTCCGTATCTCACTCTGTGATAGGGACTGAACTTGGGTCTTGCACATGCTAGGCAAGTACTAAGTCAACATTCTTAGCCTAAAACTGTCTAATTTATAAAGATAATAAGGCAATTAAAAGTCTTTTTCTATTTATTTCAGGTGATATTGTCATGAAAATAGTAAGAATAATATAACATTACCAATTTTTACATTATGTAACAAAATATGTATTAAAATTTTTTAGGTGTAAAGAAGGTTGATATCCTTTAAAAAAAAAACAAATATAAAGGATGAAATTCTTTTTGTTCTTAAAGATTCAATAAAACAGCAAGCAAAATAGCATGGCCTATCAGTATCAGGATGCCAATACTATCTACCAGTATTTTTATAATATATGACTTCTTATTGGACCAAAATGATTATTAAGAAATAAAAACCTTTGAATCACTGTGTCAGAATTCATACAGATCTTAAGTGAGGAACTATCATTAAAAATTTTCTATAAAAGTAAAAAAAATGTACCTGATGTCCAGCCTTGACTTGCTTCAAAACACTTTCATAGCATACTTCATCCATGTTATTCAACTGTTGCATCTGAAAGTTTGTAAAATAAAATATACCAAATGAAACAATTATAAACTTTTTAAGTAAAAATAAAACTTTACCAATCATCAATGTATTTTTTCAAATATCTAAACTAATAACATATATACAACAGGTGCAATATAAATAACATATAAGAAACAAATATAATGCCTTTAGTGAATACAAATTAAACCAGTTTCAAAATATTACCTAAGAGTGGTAAATTTTTAAAAGACAGTATTCTCAGAGATAAGACTTAAAAATCTTTAAGGTGCTTTCGGCTTTCCTTACAGAAGCCCATTCATGAGGCCAATTTCCTTCTACTTCATTCCACAAACTATGCAATTTTCCTGTATAATTCTCAAAGTTCTGAGAATACTAGAGGTTGAATTTCAAACGGTATAATGGTTTAAAGCCTAAAAATACACATAATTTCTTCAATACACATGAAGAAGGGTATCTATCTATGTCCCAGAAAATTTTCAGATTAATTGAAAACTAATAAATAGTAAAATAAGAAAGAATCTAATTTGTCTTATTAGTGAGATAAAAGCCTCTTACCAAAAAAATAAAGTGGTGTGATCATGCCTTAACATACATCTTTTAACATTTATCAATAGTTTCAAGATGATGATAAGTGTCATGTATATGATGACTATGGTTTGAATTTTTTGTTTTTGTTTCAAAATGATAAACACTTTGAAATCCTCGAAGTCTTTTGACCAATAGTGGCCAAGTAAGACAAGATAATCATACGATAACTGACTCTTATTAATGACTTTAAAAATCAATCCTATCTCTACTCCTCCACAAGTATACACCCCAGGGTATTCTGAGTTGAACTGTGGTCAAAACAATTATTTCAAATTAGAAATATCATTCACATTAATTTCTCAATTTCTTTGTAACTGAACGCTAGCATGAATTTCTGAATGAAATTCTGAAGAATCAAAAAGGATTTCTCTTATAATAAATAATAAAGCAACAACTGATTATAAAACATATTAATAACATCTGGGGAAATGCTTAATGGTTACCATATATATTTATATATTTATATGGTAAAATGTATTTCAACTGAGCCCGAAACTAATTTTAATAAGAGAAAAATCTGTACTTACAACAAACAAATTCAATGTTTACACTATATAAGATATGCAAATTTTAAAAAACATTTAGCACATCTCTAACCAAAATGATTAGTATAGTCCCTTATCTAATGATATTCCTTTGATTATAATGCTAACACATTATGATGAAAATACTTTTGAATGCAATTAGTTTTAAGTGAGTTGCCAATTTGTATGATGCAACTAAAAGAAAGTAAATTTGGCTAGCAAACATCTGAAACAATTTTCTTCTCAATATTTCTCTGTGATCACCATCTGCTCTCAATTTCATTACAAAGTTAAACAATCAATCTAAAGCCATGAAGAAATGGTTTTACACTTATACTTGTGACATGTTAAATTCAACTAAATAACCAAATATATACTGATAAATGACTGGAAGAACAGCAGCAAAGAATACTGGAGAGAACTTGAAACCACTAATGAAGGTTAAAATGTGTATGTAACTATTACTGTATTGTAAACTATCTTTTTGTTCATAAATCTGAAAAGGATCTCTACAATTTAAAAGATACCAGTTTTATTCAATGCACTTAGTGTATTTCAGTTGTAATTACAATCATTTCTGCTATTTACTATTTGAATATTTTACTTACAAATGCCTCAAGGTAAAAATGGCTCTATTTAACTAATGACATTGTTCTTATGCAAGAAGTAATTCATTTATTAAACACCACCTTTGACCTAACAACACATGATTCCACTGCGTCTTCTTTTAGTGAGGAAGTTAAAAGGAAAGTTAATAATGTCCCAAAGCGTTTTCTTTTAAAAAATTGAACAGAATAATAAATGATAAATTTAAACAAGGTTTTCTTTCATATTATAAGCATCCTAATGGTACGTGGTAGTATTAGAGAATTAGACAAACTTTTTAAAACACAGTATGTAAATTTAGAAATGACATTTATATACATAATTAAATGGCAATAATACAATGTACAAGTTAAACAGAACACCTCTCCTGATGGTTCCCAGCATCAAGGTATTTTTCAAATACACATGAGATTTTTATTTATTTTAAAGGAATGTTGTATCAAAATATACTAGTCTAATTAGAGCTTTTATCTCACACCATCAATTAAGTCAAAATAACCTTAGTAAAAAGTTTTAACAAAAAAATATTGGAAATTAGCAATGTAAACTATTACAGGTAACTTTCAAAAGAGAACTTACTGTACTATCAACAGCTAAAGAAGCCTACTTGATTTCATCCAATGTGTCATTTATAGCACTACTTAAATGATCAGCTGTCTCTAATCTCAGAGAACTCTTCAATAACAAGTCAACAAGAATAGTTCTAAAAAAATATATAATTAAATAAATGAATGTTTACCTTATTTGTACTTTTAATCCCCAAAAATGTCTGTCCAAGAGGTACTGGTCGAAATCGGCCATCAAAGTAGAAAAGTCCAATGTAGGGATTAACGTGTAAAAAAGTAGCAACATCAAGGTAGTTGGGTAAGGTTGCAGAGAGTCCAAGTATCCTTATCATACTCTGTGTAGATTCCACCTACATGGGTTATTTTAATCACAGGTCCAGTGTGAGTATTAATACTTCCAGAATTGTCCATTCATCAAAACTGTATTATCACCTAACCTGTCACACTGAGGATGCAGAACTGAATAGACACAGACCCACACAACTTACACCTGCAGAGACTATTTGTAGAAGTATAAAGAGGGAAGGTAAAAACCCAAAGAGTACGTAAAAATTAAACACATTTGCAACATTGTCCAATGAATTTGTTTTCACCAGAGAAATGTTACACATATCATAAAAAGGCCCCACTAAATCCCACCAAAAGTAAAAAATCCTAAATAACACAAAATGATCACCACACCTATTATTTAAAATGTCTCCCTCGCAATATATACAATAATTGGGATAATGATTTTAATCATACTCTATTTCTATGTAGTACCTGCAAGGGTTTGTAAAGAAATAAAAGTGATATTCAATTCTAAAACTATTACTTAAAACTCAGGGAGGCTATTTTTAACGTCTTTTGATGTTAAATACATGATACCCTAGCAAACATTAGGTATTTTTCTAATAAAACTCCATTTAAAGATAATCATTTTTAAATCTAAAAGTATAATCATATCTTAGTATAATTAAGTCTTGCAAGAATTACTTTTAGTTGAAACAGGAATAGTTTTATGTCTTAAGACAAATTCCAAAGCTCTATGCACTACAGATATTTACCAAAAAAGTATTCATTGCTAAACACTGTAAAACTAATACTTTGCATGTCTCCTTATTAGTATGCCAAGGATTAGACAGTACGAAATTTCATCTTGCATAAAATTTAAGTTTGGAAAAGGTCTCCCTATTCATTGAAAGCAAAGTTAGTTAAGCAACAATTAGTATTTAACATTGGTAAATAAAATAGATTTGGGACTTTTAATTTTTTATCTTTTCCAAATTTCTCTCCTCATTAAAAGTATGTTTGTAAATTTAGTTCTTAACATAACATGCAATTTCAGTGAACAGCTCCAGATCAATTGTCTATCTTAGTCTCAAAAGATGAATGATGTGCAACACTGCCATCTCCTGGGAATATCTGATAATCACAGGAAGAAATAAAAAGAACTTTGCTTTTTACTAAAAACAATCACAAGCACTGCATTACATACTTTGAAAATTTGAGAAATCACGTATACCCTTTACCATAGAGATTAAGATCCAGGGAGAAGGACTCAGATAATAAAATATTACAGCAAATAATACTTAATAAAAATGGCTATTTGACAGGTTCGACAGAACAGCTGGTTTTCAATCAAGGGATGTGGATAGCACTACAGAAAAAAAGCCTTATATAATTTGGCATTTATAATCCTTAACCTCACAATCAACAATACATTCTGTCTCTAGTAAGATTAGCTTCACCTGGAAAAGGAACAAATATGGTTCTGTGTGGCTAGAACTAATCGACAGATGAATGCTCTACAGAAGTTAGAATCAGATGACTCAATAGTCAGGAACATCTAGCTTAAGGATTTAAAAATTTTTCCTAATAAGCAAGTCTGTAAAGGTTTATGAGCAGAGACATGGGAAACTATACAATTATTATTTGATTACATTACAGAAATGAAACTGTGAGGGAGCAATTAATGTATACACTATATATTATATGCTGTATCTCAATAGAGATAAAATATATTTATATAATTATATGTAATATAAACAATATAACCATAATATATAATTTTATAAGTGATGGTGAATATATTAGAGCTTTCACTGATAACAACCCACTGTGGACCTGTGCCACAGGTTCACCACCACTGTTTAAATTATAAATTATATAGAGAAAATTAAACTATTGTGCATTTATAAAATATAAAGCTCTTAAAATACTACATATGATGCATAATATTGTGTGAGTGTACACCTACACAGAAAAGGCCTTGATGCTTACTCTTTTTTTTTTTTTTTTTTTTCTTGGTACTGAGGACCTCACACCGCCCAGGCAGGCACTTGTGCCACTGAGCATACATCCCCAGCCCTACTTTTCTCATTCTAAAGGGAGTGCTCAGAATAAAAAGAAAGATGGCATTGTCAAATTCCCTTGTAAACATATGGTTAATACCTTGGCAAACACATAAAAAATATTTACTGGCCTCTAATGAATGATTTGTTATTGTATGGAAGTTCTTATCTGTGGAATCTTTTCAGTTAAATGGATGTGGTCTCCTACCTTGTTCACTGCAAATAAATATAGAATGTATGGTTCATACAGCATGACTCCCTAAAAAATGTCTTTTTAAGCTATTTAAGTATCAAGGTATAAAACCAAAACATTTCTTAATCAAACTTGCTCTTTTATGTAAGAGAAGATCTGAATACTACTTTTTGAGAGGTCTCATATGTAAACTATACACCAAAAGCAAGAAAGGACCTGGACAGCAGAGATGGCAGTTTAGGTTACTTTATCGTACCTCATAACTATTTGTATTCTTGAGGCTGTTTTATATTGGGTATTAGCAAAAATTTCTAATTTTACAAATCTACATTCATTATTTAAAACCTTTGTATTTTATATACAGGATGCATACATAGATATTTTTAGTTCATATAGAAAAAAAATGAACATATCCCCAAAAGTCCTGCCATTCTCTCTCTATTGTAAGAAACCACTTTTTGGCTTACTGCATGTTTTTCATACGTATATACACCACATTCTATGCTACCTTAAAATCTAGCTATGTTTTTTTCACTGCTGTAACTCAAACACTTAGAAATATACAGCTAGCACATAAGTGCTTAACAAATGTTCATTAACTGAAAGAATGAATCTAACTCCCAAACCCTGCATACTTTCTCTTCACAAAGCGGAACTGTGCTACAATATAGAACAGTTTGTTTTTTCAGTGAAGAATTAAATATATTTCTGAAACCCAGTTCAGATGGCTGTACCTCATCCTTAAATACTGCAAAGTAGTATTTCACTGTAAGAATGTTTAAATTATTAAACTATTTCTTTCATTTTAAAAACATTTGAATTATTTCCAAAATATCTTTTTTTAAAAAAGTATTCAATGAGTATCAGTAATAACTTATCTTTATAAACTGGTGCTATTATTTCCATAGGTTAGACTTCTACAGCTTAAGTACGGGGTTAATTGTAACAGACGTCTCCAAATTGTATTCCATTTTCATTTTTGCTAATCTGACATACTGATTTGGATTCGTTTTGAGCACCTTTTCTATATTTCTCAGTATTTTGTTTCTACTGTAAAATGTTCTTTCAAGTTTTTAAAGGATTTTTTAAATTAAAAAGTCCATTAAATATATGTGAGATTAAAGATTAAACTTTAGTATTACACAAATTTCTATGTGACCACTTACATTTTAACTGTTTCAGATACTATCTTCATTGGTCAGAATACTTTAATATTCACATATCCAAATATAGCATAAATTTGCTTTCTTTTCCCAATATAAGTACATAGAATGGAAAAAACATGACAAATTTTAAGAATGTAACTACTTCAAAGGCGAAAACAAGAAAAGATAGGGAGCCTGAGAGAGAGCAGAAAGCTAAGAGGGCGGAAACATCAAGTGGAAAACCTGGTCAGGGTAACATCACAAAAACAAAAGGGGAAAAAGTTCCAAGACTGAAGAAACAATGCATGGTATTAAATATCAAAAAGTAGTAACATCAAAGTTAAAACACTAAGTCTGAGAACTATCTTTAAGTAACTGATAATCCCAGTCAAAGACTTTTATGGTTCAATTTATGATCAGACTGCAGTGGTTGAAAAATAAAGACATGTAGAAGAACTAATAGTGAATACAGATTAATATTTTGGGAAAACAGTAAAGAACTTTATTAAGCAGAAGTTACAGGGGAGGGACAGATTTGAGGGAGAGTTTTCAGTAAAGTACAAAGGGACATTGCAGTTCTTTTGAACCAAGAGACAATGCTAAAAGGAAGAAGTTAATGACACAGAGAAGGAAAAAGAGGGTAAGTTAAGAGAGAGAGAGATGATGGGATCCCATGCAGTAGGCACTGCTGAGAAAAGTTGAGGGGTACAATGTACAATGATGCGCATACTCAGACAGTGAGAGACCAGGCTGACTTTTTTCTGAACAGGAAGAGGAAGAGGAAGGATGGTAATTGAGGAAATTCAAGCATGAAGGATTCCATTTCCTTAATAAAATGTACTGTCACATAAGGAGGCACAACAGGATTAGAAAGAATAAAAGAGACTGATGAAGCTTAGAAATGGTCACATTACAGAAATAAGGAAAATGGCTCAGAAGTTACAGGGCAATCCCAGGAACCCAGGTGAATTCAGAGCTGATAGGTAAATAGTGTACATGGGTCTAAGAATCTATTCTGACATTAATCTAAATTGCTGTGTCACCTCCTGCCTAAAGATTCACTGGCTGGGCAGAGATGCAGATGTGGCTCAATTGATTCATTGTGGAAATTTTGCCAGGTATTCAGAAGATAAGAAAGTTAAGGTTATTGACAAGAGAATAATTGGCCTTGGAGGCCTGGGTATTTTAGGAAGAAAACAATGGCAAAAGAACATGAATAAAAGACATTAACATATGAAGAGTCAGCAGCAGATTTCTTGATGAGATTGAAAAATTGATGTTCCTGTCCAGATTTGCAGTGAGGGGGTTAGAAATGAGAAAAAGTATCAAAACAACAACATTCTATATTTTAATGTTGCTAAGTCATTATTAGACCCAGACTTGCAACACATGTTTAACACACAAATTTTCTTGTATTTCAGTTAAAAACTTTAGTAAAACGAGATTGAAAAGGGACTTTTTTATATGAATATGAAATAGCTAAAGGTTTCTCTAAACTAAAATGACTTACCCCATGAACAATGCATATTAGTACTTCCTTTGAATGCTTTAAGTTAGAAAATTTATTCACGTCTCTAATAAGAAATTATACAATACTTTTTCTTACCTGCCGTAAAGTACGTGCAACTATGCTTTCCAATACTGGCCCTCTATCTTCATGGAGCAAATGGACTTCATCAAGAATAAGGAGCTTTACAATTTGGGAAAGAGCAACATCCCCAACACTCTTTCGTGTTACTACATCCCATTTTTCTGGTGTGGTCACAAGCATCTGTAACACAACAAAAGATAACCAAGGTAAAACAGAAATTCCATAATTTATGTAAATTTCAAATTTCATTGAAAAAGAAGTATTTTCATCTCTGTATACATCAAATGAAAAGTATTTAAAGTACCCCAGAAGGATATCTAGCTCACAGAAGATAACAGTCAATTCAAGAGGATCATTCTTTCAGGTAATGATTTAAAGCTGTTATTTAAAGATCTTGAGGACAATTTGTCAGTAACTGGTAATGTGAAGTATACAAATTATCCAAGTTTTTTCGTAAAAGGAACTAATAATGTAGAAAAAATCCTTTTTTGAAAGTATACACTGATAATGGTCTTTACTAGAAAAGGGACTAAGAAGTAACAGAAGCTTTCTTTAAAAGGAAATTAGTAAAGAAAACATGACTGCATTCTAGCAAGGTCATGGATCTTAAGTCTACCCAAATTTGGAGGAAACTACTATTGCTATACATTTTCTAAAAAACTGTCCTTTAATATCAACTTTTATATACCATACTTCATAATAAAAATGAATAGATTTAATAAACTATAACTGACAAATACAACAACCAAAACAGTGAGTTGCAGGTGATCAGGCAAATCAAAGCAAAAATAGGCCTACAGCATTTATGTAAACTTCATAAAAGCAGACCTCTTGGCATGAAGTTGTTACTGCAAGTCTACTTACTTTCAGCATAACAAATTGTTTTAATCTTCTAAAACAATATAGCAGCAGAAAAGAATGGAAAGTTTTTCTCTTCTACTGTACCACTGTCATATTAGGAAGTAAGTCCAGATGTGGGTAATTCAAAGAATGCATGGGGCTAACAATAAAACCCAATGCTTCTCTTAGCCAGTATACTAGGTAGGGGTACTGATACGAATAAACAATTCAGCTGTACTTTGCAGGGGTTAGCTGAGCTGGGGGTCAATTAGTTCTCCTCAATTTTTAATATCATGGCACATGTATCTCAAAGTACTTACAATAACAACAATTTTATTTATTTAGATTACAAATGATGAATAATTCTTAACAAATGTACAAATCTGTCAATATGACCTGCTGTATTGTAAGAGATATGACTTGCTATCATTTTGAAATGAACTACTTCAACTGCAAAATTTAGTAAGGTAATTCTACAAAGTGTTAATTAGCAGAGAACATTGAAATAGTAATGTAGATTTAAGATATGAAGTGGTACAAAAACCAAACGATACAGTCATCTTTCTAAAGCTAAAATTGCCATGTTGCAATCACATCAATTTTTATAGAAAATGTATGCTACTAAAATTAAGAATAAAGTACAGTATAATGAACTCTAAAATAGCATAACATATTTTATGTATATAAATATCTCCTTTAACATTCCTAAAAAAACTAGACTGGAAATTCCATTCAATCCAGCTATTCCCCTCCTGGGTATTTTCCCAGAAACACTGAAGAGGTCATGTCACAGTGATATATGTGCACCCACGTTCATAGCAGCACAGCATGTGACAGCTAAATCTGGGAAACAACCAAAATGCTCGTCAATTGCAGAGTGGATGAAAAAATGTGCTATTTTTACACCATGGAATACTACTCAGCTATAAAAAAGGATGATCTTGAGGCCTTTATAGGTAAATGGAGGCAACTTGAGAATACCCTCATTAGTAAAATAATTAAGACCCACATTAGTAAATATCACATTGTCTCTAAAGTGTAAAAAATAATAAAAACTGACAGAGCAATGGATCCAAAAAGTATAATAGATATTGTAACAGTGAAAGGGAAAGAAAGTGCTCTAAAGAATATAATGGTATACATAGTGTGTAAGACAGATGACCATATTACTGAATTTCTGTTGGATCATGGAACATAAGTGTTTGCACTATCAACGTTTGAGTGTCTAGCCACTTTTTATGCTTTGGTTTTATAACTTTAACAACTATTTTTAAGATGACAATATGTAATGTATCAACGAGCGATTTTATGATGCTAATTTTTTTAGTCTGTATTGTTCTACCTTTTTTGTCTTTTTTATATTTTGTTTTTAATTTTCGTTAAGTAATAAATAAAAATAAATACCTCCTTTATCATACAACAATATTATTTAAAATGAAAAACTTTGAATGACATGCCCAAAACAACCCAAGATATATTATCATAAACAGAGATTAAATAACTTATTGATAACCATTTTCATTAAAAACCCTTGAAAAACATGCTCATAGGTTTAAAAAGGAGTAATTCTCCTAGCCTGTAAATTGATAGCACATTAAAATATAAAGTAAATAAAATATTTTAGAAGTAGTAAATTATATTAAGAGAACTACGAAGTGTACTATGAAATCATCATAAGTACAGTTTGGCTATCTCACATAATTTGTAATACTATATCAGCACTTTATTATCTTTCAGGTAAAATAATGTGGTAAGAATTAAATTATAAAATAAAAATTTTCAAAAATCACAAAGCTATATGGGGCTGGAGATTTAGCTCAGCGGCATAAGCGCCTGCCTTGCAAGCAGGCAGTCGTGAGTTCGATCCCCGGTACCAATAAAACAAAAATAAAAACAAAAAACAAAACAAAAAATCACAAAGCTATAACACTAAACACTAACAATTTTTGTTAGCATTTTGTTTTCTGAAACTGTCTTTTAAAATATTAAGAAATGATTCCATTTATATCACTATTTTTACCACTGACACTGCCAGAAAAGTGCCACATTTGTTTAATAAATTGAAACTCATGCAATATATTTTTTTCTGCTATTGAATTAGATGTGTGAACTGTGACCATTTTTGATGTCAACTTAAAATTTTTTTCTGTGTAAGTACAAATTTCCTCAGAAACATAAAACTCATTGTTCAAAATTGTTTCAAAGTTAGCCTGTCCATCAGACAAATGAAACAGATAAGATACTTATATATCGCTGTTACGTTAAAAAAATTGGTGTATTCAATTTTAAGATGTGTATCAAGTTAACAGCAAAACTAAAAGATGTAAAACTTTCAATAATCAATTTATTTGCTAATTCATTCAAACATAATTAAAACCTTTTTTTACATATGTACTTAGTTTTGATAAATGTTTCACAACTCAGTTATTTTTTTCTAAAATTGAAGCATATTCTTCAGGAGGATAAGGGAAGAATAACAAAGTTTTTAATTTGCACTTTTTTGTAATTATTTGCGTGATACAATAATTGGACAGTACTGCAAACCATTTATCAAAAACACCAGCGAGGGAATGTTCAGTGAATGAAGAACACTGGGCCTGAATTCAAGTACTGACAGACTTATTCCAAATAGAAGGCTTTTTGATTTCTGGGCTAAGAATTATGAGATCACAAAGCTTCTTGCCAAAGAAAGGCTGTGAAAGGAATGAACTGGAGTGTGAATTTTACATTCTGTTTCTTCTTTTCCCCTACATATTAGCAGACTGAACTGATCTAATGCTTCTTCTGAAATGGAAAATGCAAAGATTCAAGAAGTAGAAAGGGCTGTTACTGTATCAGTCAGCAGTGACAAGCAGATTTTAGCTCCTGAGTTAGGACATAAGACTGATCCAAGCTTTCAGCATTTGTAAGAAGAATCGGCCAGAAGTTGGGGGTGTGTGTGTGTGTGTGTGTGTGTGTGTGTGTGTGTGTGTGTGTAACTGTAAATAGTTACTGAATAGACAAAGATTAAGAAGATTTATGTTACTAGGGCTCACTGACAAAGATCTGACACAGAAGCATAAAGAAATCAAGTTAGTGTTTAAAGGAGAAGAACAAACAAAAAGAGCAAAAGAGATCATCTTTAAGAGGACAGAATTTTTCAATGTTGTTAGGAGTTGTTAGGAGTATGGCTTACAAATTGGTCAAAATCCACTGGGCTAGGTATTTACAAATATGTGTTTCATTCTTTGTACAATGAATTCAAATTTTTAAAAAATTTCATAAAGTGTAGAGACAAAATGTAACTTATAGATTTCAACTAAAACAGAGGTGGCAAGTGGGGAAACAGACTAACTTGATACAAGATAATATTAAGAAAATGCTGTTAACATTATTTAATACAATGTAGGTATTATATATTTTTCAAAGAGTTTCTTATTTTTTAGATACTTCTACTCATAAGTGATAATTTTAAAAACCAAACCAAAAACACTATTTTTTCCATTTGAAAAAATACTCATTCTACCCTGATATATAATATATAAAATTAATACCAATGTTCAAATACAACAAACTTATAATTTTATTTATCTCCTAAATAACCCATCATTCATTTACCTATTTTAAACATTAAGGCTATAATTGCAGAGGTCTTTTATAAAATGAATTTATTGCTTTCATCTTCCCAGACCAGTATGCTTCAAATCTCTGGCTTCTCAGATTCAAACACATGCAAACACACACACACACACACACACACACACGCACCCCTTTCAGGTCCTAATGACATTCTCTTAATACCCTATACTCCCTGTCTTAAACGATCTTATGGCTACATAAGAAAGATCTCCCAATCTTACTCACAGCATTTAGAAAAACCTTAAATGGTTTTCCAACCAAAGTGAGTAGCTCTATATTGTATATTTGGTCTCTAAGACTTTTAAAAATATTTCCCAGCATAAGGTATTCTAAAACTTTACAAATAAAAATTCTACCTAGTTAAAATTCATCCAAAGTTAAAATTAAACAATTATATCAATAAAAATTTTCAACTTTTCTCAGAAAAAACAAATTCCTTTCTTCTCCACTCCTAACATTCTCCCTCATTAGACTTCACCAGATCATTTTGCCTAAGGTGACAGGCAGACATGTTTCTTGTACTCAATTATAACTAAAGAGATCTAAAAACAACTTTTATACTAGACATTTTCAATTACAGCACTATTCTTCATGAATCAAAAATAATAAACAAGATTTAGGAATGTAGCTCCAGGTAGTGTACTTGTCTAATATGTGTGATGCCCTACTGCAATTGCCACTACTACAAAAGCAAACAAAAATCCTACAAAACTGTCTATACA